ATCACTTAAGAGCTTCATAGATTGCCGCTTGATAATTTTAATGAGCTCTTTTATTGCCAGTGGGAATGCAAGAGTTACTTTCATAAAGAGCCTGGTTCTACCACTGAATCTGATCAAAATTGCACAGATATATCGTCTAGTTCTTGTCTGTAAGCTGATGACGGTGCGAGGTGAGCGGGATTTTTTTTCTCTAGTTTACGATTCTCGCGAGTTCTCTATAGGATAAAATGCTTACCATGATTATATGAAAACGAATTAGTGTAAACCGCTCATTTAATTTTATTTTCTTTGAAATTTCAATGTTCTTGGAAAATTCATTCCAAATAAAATTTCGATTTGATTCACTTTACATCTTTCAACCACATATAAGAGTCAAAGGAAATGAACTTTGAGAGGAAATTCCATAGGAGCATCACATTTGATCAGCTTCGACTCACGACAGAAATAGTATATGTCGGTTACTGTTGTCCTGTTGTCAAGGACCGCGGTGCAATTCACTGTTTTGTTAATGGCAATAATAATAAGACAGAAATAATAATAAATAATTTTCGTTTAAATAATATTTAACTTAGACAGTTATCCGACTCGTCAACGATCACTACTCATGTAACAATATGTAAAACATCGTGCGGTCTTGGAAATAAGTCCACAATAATGGACCACATTCTCTGTCATTATGTCTCGCGGTTTCGCTCAGAACTGTTGAGATAAATCGACGAGCGTTTGAGAAATAAACGGCCTGTCAAGAAATAAAAATTGGAAATATTTTCCTGAGAATCGATGAAGTTATAAAGCGCGAGTACTGAGCTTTGTCTGAAAAGCTCCCATGGCAACGAGAGTTCGGGCCCCGCACTTGTTATTGTGCGCCGCCCGGCCGACAAAGGCAGCTAAAGCGCTCAGCAAATAACGATACAGAAATGCGCTGGGAAACATTAAGTCTTCATAAGTTGGCATATGTTATACGTTGTGAAACATTTTATATGTACATTTAACTTGCTTGAGCACAATTTTTGCTAGGAATGGAAGCACATGGAGTTACTTCGTTAAGAGTCTATAAAGTTCCTTCGATATTTACCTGTACGTAATATACATGGAGAAATAAGGAATAGTTTTATTGAATGGCTTATATTACAAATTCTACCAATGAAATTGGTAAATTTTGAGTGTTATATAAATACTTCAATCTCTCTCAATTATTAGAAATTAAATTAAATGAAATCATAAGTCCTCTGTTACACATGCAAAGATAAGATAATCACCAAAATAAACTTCGCCTCCGCCGCCCTCGCTGCAGGCGATGTTTCGGAGGCTGCAATGCGCCGCCATTCTCAGAAATCGTGTCATTCTGTTTGCCCCCTCACATTCTCCGTCCCCCTAATACTCCATTATGTCAAGAAGCTGCCAATCTTCTTGCAAATCAACTTTGTCTAATCCTGCGATAACAGAGTCAAGGCAAAAATCCGCTCCTTCTGCAAACATTATTGCGAAGCACGAGGAAAAAAGACGCTGCGCGACGAAAAGCGAGCGGCCGGGCTCTCTCCCGGCGGATGAAGAGACTGTAAAACCTCGCGGGAGAAGGGGCGGGGAGCCTTATTAAATATTTAGGCAGCGATTATACTGAGTCATCCAATAGATTCCGGTTATCCATTCGTGATCCACCTTTAAAGTTGGTTGGCTTTAAGTAGCAAAATGAATCGTCGATTGAGAATACAAAAGTTCTTATGAGTCAATAAAATTCTTTTATTGTCAGTCATCTATTAGGATAACGAAGCAATTTTACTATGAGATAGGCTGCAAAACTCACAAAAAGTGAAGGAGCCCCCGAATATTCCAAATAAACAAAAAATATTCGTTTTTAATGATTTCCAAAGAAACTCGGTAGTCGCTGCTTCTTATCGGATGATTATGCACAGAAATAAATCCGCGCATAGAAGTGAGGTTCCTTTAAGTCTGTAACAAAAACTTCAGTGTACACAAATATTATACTGGAACGATGCTTCAGTGTGCACATATGATATATTGAAGTGGTACTTCAGTGTAATGTCAGGCACCATTAAGCGCCACCTGATTGATTTTATATTTGTACCTGAACCTGCACGAGGATTGGGATTCATTGACTAACTGCGTGAGGGATAACTAAGACGTCCTATCTTATACTAAATACTGATAATAAACAAATAAAAGTACAAATGATGACCTCTCTGTGGAACTTGTCTTAATACGGGGTGGGTATATACATGAGAGATACGTACAATACAGAGGCCATACTTTCAAAACTCGCTAAGTGAACGTAAATACTTACGCTGCATTTTCTTGTCTAAAATTGGTGGATTTTGCTCGAAAGGCCGTTAATGATTGGCTGATGAACTTACGATCTCTTAACTTTTTTTGAAAGTATAGGCCCAGGCTATATTACAACCTTGACCAAGTCGACCAAGACTGTCGGGGTAGCTCGACTAGCGCGTGTTACATGGCGGCGTACTTGTGAGTTACTGGGGGCTTTACTAAAGTACCCAGACCTTTAATAGACTTCGTATTTCCGCCCACCGAGTTCTTTTCCTCGTGCTGTATAAGCAGTCGTCTTAGCGTTTGGGGCAAGCTCTCAGTGATACAGAGGACTCATAGCTAACTAAGTCGGCTGGTAAACACATAAGGATTTATAGCCACAAACTACTCGCGGACAGTAATCAAACTGTATAATGGAACATACGGTACTTCAGTGTACACAAACGGGATACTTGAACGGTACTTCAGTGTTCTCATATAAACTGTATCCTGGAACCGTACTTCAGCGTACACAAACAGTATACTGGAACGGTACTTCAGTGTACTCAAACTATATACTGGAACGGTACTTCAGTGTACACAAACAGTAATATTATATAAAAAGGGAACTAAAATTGAAGGTATTATATTGATCCCGCGGGCACAGCCGGGCTAACCTTCCGGTAAGTTATAAAACCATTTGATTTATTTCGAGAATAATCACCTAGCATAACAATAAATATAGTAATAATCACTCCTCTCCGTTTGTTGTGAGAAACGCATTCAATTTGTTATGGATATTAACTTTAAATACAAGCAGTTAACTCAAGTAAAATTTACTTCTATTTTATAAACCCTAATAGAATTTATTTCTCACAAATCTCCTTGTTTAAACATGGCTACATCAATTCCTTTGATTCCTCCCTCACCGCGCCTACCCCCTCCTTTGCTTTGACTGATGCGTTCAAATTTGTCTTTAATCTGAAGTTGACAGACTGACAGACTTGCGAACCGACAGACAAACAGACGGACGGATGAGCACCGCGATGACAGAAGCGGTCCTGTCTCTCACTGTCGATCTCACGCCAATTCAACGCCACAAAAATCAACTTCTGGACGCAACGAAAAAATAAACATCAAATATTAGAATTTTAAACTCATTTCCTTTAAAATTTTTCGGTACTGAAATATTTTGAAATGACTTTATCAGTGACGAAAACTGTTAAAACTAAAATAATTTTGGGATTACTGAAGGAATAGTATCGTGCTGGTAGATTTAATTAATCCCTTCGAAAGTCTTGGGTTCAAATGAAGAACCACTTCACTTCATGCCGGGTAATATAGAATTTAAGTTACGTGTAAGATGAATGAGTCTTGACTGTATTACCAGCTAACCTGGTATTTCACTTTGAAAAATATTTATCTCAAAAATATTTAGTCCGTTAAAGAAATGCACTTAATTTATGTGACGAAATGAATATTATCGAGCTAAAAAATTTTCTGAAAATATACATGAGATAGTTCGTCGAAATAAAATAATACAGCAAATTTGAAAAGAAAAACAAAAAGTTACGCTATAGACATCGGTCTGAAGCATCAAACGCAACAACTATATATACGAGATTAAAATACAGCGGCAAAGGCTTCATGTGTAGCGTGTACAGCAGCTACAGCGATGATGACATTGTTTATTTGGCGCTAAGCATTTTGCATTGGTTGGAAAAGTAAAGTAAGGTGAAATTAAAGTTAGGGTATCAACACAGAATGATGTAATTCCATCGCATCTCTGAGTAACGGCGAGAAAAAAAAGAATGTATATGCTAACTCAAGGCAACTGAAACAAGTAGCATCAAACTGTAAGACCTGTTGAATTAGCAAGCAGCTGTTAATATCTAAAAACAGACTGCCGGCATCAACAAGATCACAGAGACAAAAAGAAGTTCTACGCGGTATCAACAGGGACATCATAAGCATCATCAAGATCACAAGCGTCAACAAGATCTCCGGCACGAACAAGAAGATAGCCGACATCAACAACCATATCACTGACATCAACACTGAGATCTTCTACATCAACGAGGTGATAGTTAACATCAACAAAAACGTACGCAGTTCGCCAAAAACGAGCATCAACAGGGAAGCACCCCCTCCCCCCCCCTTATACAGTGAGGAGAGAAGGCGCAGCCTCCACGCCTCATCGTATGAGCAGCACCAGCAGCACAATCCTGAGCAACAATGACAACAACAGCAAGTCCGCAAAGCGCATCAATAATCCAGCTTTTAAGCGGCTCAACTCTGGCCTAAACCGCAGTCAAAACAGACCAGCTGAACCACAGCTCAGCCAAAACGTCGCAACGCATCGCAACCAACGCGGCAGCTCTGACTTATTTGGATGTGGAACCAAAAAGACGTGATAGCCTTCGTATTGTCGCAACTTGGCTTGAAAATTCCGAAGAAATAAGTTTTAGACATAAGGTGGACTCTGATGTCTCGACGTGTTGACACCTTGAATTGGTTTTTTGATAGACGAACACGCATGTTTTACTCTCAAGTGCGGCTATATTTTGTGCGGAGCAGATGACGGAGCTGCACTGCTGTTCATAAGATTCTTTTTGTTGAACTTTTGCCTGAAGAAGCAGAAATATTCGGCGTAATTCATCTCACTGACTCATGCTCCGCCGTCCCGCAGTCTCGCGTCTCATGGGCGGTCCCGGCGTCCCTGTACCGTCCCGCAGTCTCGCGTCTCATGGGCGGGTCCGGCAACGTGGCGTCCCTGTCAGCGTGCGGCGTGGGCGACAACAAGGCAATGCACTTCCCGCTCTCCCATCGCAGAAAACGACGCATCCTCTTCACTCAGGCACAGGTTGTTATACATTTCAATTCTGTGATAAATATTTCACATGTTTCATATTTACCTCGTCACTTTACTCAATGGTACTAACAAAACACGAATTCTATCACAAAAAATACAATAATTACGAACAGAATAATCGAGTGCGAGATTTTTTTTAAAATTTTGCATTCATGTTTGGTTACTGCAAATGTTTTTTTCAGATCTCTTATCCCATAATTTTATTAGTAACTTTTCTGTCACTATAACTCAAACGCCTTTTTTCCACCGCGCGTGTCGCAGGTGTACGAGTTGGAGCGGCGCTTCAAGCAGCAGAAATACCTGAGTGCCCCCGAGATCGAGCAGCTGGCTGGCCTCATCCACCTCACCCCCACGCAGGTCAGTTCTCACCCACTCCAGCAGCACATATCCACGTACCTCACCCACGCAGGTCAGTTCTCACCCACTCCAGCAGCACATCCACCTCACCCCCACGCAGGTCAGTTCTCACCCCCACCTGCAGCACATCCACCATGCATCTTTTTACCAATAATTTAGCACTCGCTCCTTATTTAGTGGCAGTTGAACGCATAAATATTTTGTTAGTCCCGTCATAAATCAAAGAGTGGGCAATGCCAGAGTATTATCCTCCGCAGAGCTGCAAGTGTCAGTAGTTTAGGTAACTGCTGTGAGGTGCCGAGCTCAACCTTCGGCTGTGTAATATACACAGCCGAAGTGAGGAGTTACCATCAAGCGCCACCTGATTGATTATACATTTGTACCAGAACCTGATGATTGGGATTCGTTGACTAAATGAGTGAGGGATAACTGAGACACTTTTCTCTGTATAATTTATCTTGATACGGAGTGGTTATACATGAGAGATACAATACGGGTATGTGCTAAGACGTCAACTTTGACCAAGTCGACTACGACTCTATACAGTGCACTGATGTATACCGTCCGAACTGGAATGCGTTCGCTTCAGCTCAACGCGCTTTCGGCTCACTCAGTCTTTCTGGATGAGCGTGTGAGATACTGTTTATGTATCTCACCGGCTCAATATAATGCACCGGCTCACAGCTCAATCACTATACCTTTCTAAGGTATAGTGATTGGTCTTTTCGTCGTTTTTAGCGTCTTCAGCAATTTATTAGTGACATTTCTTTGTCTCTGCTGTCCAGGTGAAGATCTGGTTCCAGAACCACCGCTACAAGATGAAGCGCGCGGCCAAGGAGAAGTCCATGACGGAGAACAACAGCCAGGTGAGTGACCTGCCTAGCACCACCGAGTTAGAAATAAAATGTGCTAATTAGAAATGAAATTATAACAAATAACCTCGCTTTAATAAGAGGAGCGTTGTGAATATCGTAATACCGGCGTTGTTCTAATTTCTGAGAATCATCAGCCGGCGATGTCTATATACCATGTGTGTGCATCATGTATGAATTGTAAGTATTTTATCACGGGAACTTGGTTATAATTATTGTATCAATTTTCAGAAAGTTTTACTGAAATTAAAAAATATATATATTAAAAAATGACGTGCTTTTTGGCCAGTCGAGCGCGTCTGTGCGCCGTGTAAGTGTGCCGGTGCTGGTGAAGGACGGCAAACCTTGCTCGTCCTCCAGCGACTCCCCGGAGCCTTCCTCCATCTCTGACTCCAAATCCAGCTCTGTGCTCCACTCCACCTCCAGTTCTGTGCTCCACTCCACCTCCAGCGCTCCACAGCTCAGCAACCACTTCCAGCACCACACAAGCGCATCTAGCACAACCGATGTAGGAGGTGTAGGTGGTAACAATGATGGAGGCGCTACGCACTCACACAACAACCAGCAACATGCAGGTCACCATCATCATCTGCACAGCACGCATCATCATCACCAACAACACCACGGTGCAGTCAACCAACACCAAATGATATCACAACCACCCCCACTAACACCATTATCCCAGCTACCGCAACACCAACCTATTCAGGACAACAGCACCAACAGTACGGTTGGTGACAACCTCAGTCTCATGGATACTGATGGTGGTGACAGTGCTGGTGGTGCTGAGGGTGGTGCTGCTGGTGGACTGCACCACAGCACTGCGCACCAAATGTCGGGATACGGATCACCGGCTGTGCACTCAGGTCAGCTTTCTCTTATATCACAAATCGAAACAATCTACTATGCTCATAATTAAAATTAAATTTTGTTGTAATAGCACAATTATGTCGCATTCAACATATTTTTTGAAATGCAGATCGGATGAGTATTGTCGTACATTTTTCTATGGATGCTTGGTAATTCTTAAGTATTTTGATTTTTCCAACGAATGGTTATGACGTTACAAGTATTGTTGATATAAACTCGAAATTCCCATTGATTCTAGTGCCAAGCATACAACGCTACTTCAAAAATACAAAAACTTGAACCAACTTCCCGAAATAAGTTATTGTTATTTTGATGGAAAATAAAGTATCCAATTTGTACGAGGAAATTCAACACCACTGGAAAGGTTGGCTGAATTCAAGCAAAACGACCAGTCTCAAGCGTGTTTAAAATTATTTTACTATTAAATTATATGTTTAAAATATTACGAATTTGAAGTTTGACGCTAACTGAAAAGAAATCATGAGTCAAGAAATCATGAATGGACAGGCTGTGTTGTCACTACTCGGTGTAACTTTATTCGGACTACACTCGGCGCAAAGTTATTCTGGGTCTGCTTGGCCACCCGATCGAAGTCATTTTCTGGTCAGAATCTCTTTTCCCACTTTATAATCGAATGAAAGTATGAGAAGGGTTGGCCGGACCGAGTCATACCGAGCTTGTAAGCTGCTCAGAGGCTGCCTTTCAAACCTTGAGCCGAAGCGGACATAGAGCGGCTGAACAACGTGTTTCTTCTCTAAAGTCCTACGGCCATCCAAAGATTTCAATCAGTTATCGTAAAACTTTTTAAAGGCTTGGGCTTGGATGGACTCAACCTAATCAATCCTTGTCACAAATTCAAATGGTGGCTGTTTTTAGTAATTTCAAATTCAAATGATGACAAATAATTCAAATGGTGACAAAATTTTAGTAATTTCATTGTTGTTAATTAAATTTTTCCTATCCAAGACTAAATATTCTGAACTTTACAATCATTTCCGGATCAGCCGTTTGTTCAATAATTGCAAAAATTTGCCCCAGTTCCAAAATGATTTCTTTAAACTTCAGTGAGAAAAATCATTCAGGGATCTTCGCTGGTCCGCGGGTTTCTGAGAAAGTCGATGGACAAATTTTTCAAAAAATATATCTATAATGGTATATATGAAAACTATCAACTTAACACACTTATAAACTCCTGAAATAATGAAAACTTACCAAACATCAATAATATGAAGACTTTGAATAATTATTATCATTCGATGAATTCCCCGTCGCGGACATGTTGACGACCTCCGGATTGTTGACGTTGCAGGAGCGAGCAGCGAAGTTGGGGGCGGTGGTGGCACCGGTACCCCAGACTGCCCGTCCCCGATGCTGCTGGCGCCCCAGAACTCTGCCTCATCTCTGCCCCACCACATCACCGCCGGACTTGGAGGATTAGGCCTCGGCATTGGGGATTACTCCCGCATGACTCCCCCAGTTCATCCCATGGTCACACCGCCTCCTCCCCACCACATGGTCACTCCCCCTCACACTCCCCACAATCCCCAAGCATCCATGTATTACTTCCCACTGCAGGGCAGGAATTGGTGATGGTGTGGGGACTTCTATTGAGAAGAGGATGCGACAGTACGTAGCACAATTCTCAATGGATCATCCCGAAACATATGATGCTGTTAACAAAATTTACGAGCTGCAAGACCCCTTGTGAACATGATATCATACTAAGACATCATAAGAAGTGTACTATATTGCTGACTTAATTACTACGAGATAATTAGGCATTTTTTCTGGGATGTTGCAGGGTAGAAACTTGTTATCATGTACAGTACGATGCGCTCCTCCCATCACGACACTGGCAGGGCTTCAATTTAATACTACGGATTCAAATTTTTTGTTGATTTCAATTTTTTGCTGGAGGGAAAGTAGAAGAGAACGCATTATAACCAAAATGTTGAACAAAATGCTATTTCTGAAGTAATTTTATATAATGCTGTTAACAAAATTTACGAGCTGCAAGACCCCTTGTGAACATGATATCATACTAAGACATCATAAGAAGTGTACTATATTGCTGACTTAATTGCTACGAGATAATTAGGCAATTATCTCGGATGTCGCAGGGTAGAAACTTGTTATGTACAGTACGATGCACTCCTCCCATCACGACACTGGCATAGTTTTAATTTAACACTGCGGAATTGAATTTTTTGTTGATTTAAATTTTTTGTTGGAGGGAATGTAGAAGAGAACGCATTATGACAAAAATGTTGAACAAAATGCTATTTTAAAAGTAATTTTATATTCAAAAAGTTCAGTGATAAATTGTACAGGGGAAAAAAGAGAAAGTTATGAAATAGTGATAAGCGGAGGTTAAATAATGAAGGTCAGCTCTAAAATGTCTTGAATGCCGTTTTTAGCTTCACGGTTCACTCCATTGACCGTCTTCTTGCAGTCAGGAAATGTGTTTTGCATATTCTGCAGGATTTCTGTGTTCTGCAGGAATTTTGTGTTCTACAGGATTTTTGTGTTCTGCAGGATTTTTGTGGTCTGCAGGATTTTTTGTGATCTGCATGCAGGATCTCTGTGTTCCGCAGGATGACATTTATGCTAATCATCAAGTGCAGCTGGCTGGATTCACGTGATTGAGTTCGAGTTGAATATGATTATAAAATAGATGTACAAGTGCGTTAACATAAGCAGCTGAAAATCTCGTAATTTTCTATGGTTAGGAGAGAATATTCAGAGTCTCTCGTGTAAATAATACCTTCAACTTAGATAATTTAATAATAATTGCTGATGAAAGAACCTCTGGGTTTGCCTTGTAGTGATTAACGTCTAATGAAAAGTTTATTTTAGTCCTATTTTATTATTTTGTCATTATTTCATCTCGTCATCCATTAACCATTAATATTAAAATCAACGACGAAATTTTATGTCAGAGAAAATCAATACAATCACGCGAATAATTTTTAAAACTAACATAAATTTCCATTTTATATGATGATAATTCAGCAACTTGAGTTATTCATTGGTAAAGTGTCTTCTATTTGGTAGGAATAGTACTAATAAGTTCATGACAATTCAGATAATGGAAGTTCATTTTGGAAAAGATGATAATGATGTCAACATCTGCTAATCTCTTTCGATGTAAATTTGGAACTTTAATTTAGTTCATATACCTACTATGGCAGCAAACATACCGAAATGAGCTAATATTTAAAGTATTTCGATTTTTTATCAAATCTCGCACGTCAGCCATACATTATTACGAAAAGAATAATTAGGGGAAGACTAATACGAAAGACTAATTACGAGAAGACTGTATACGAAAAGACTAATTAAGGGAAGACTAAATACGAAAAGACTAATTAGGGGAATACTAAATACGAAAAGACTAATTACGAGAAGACTAATTACGAAAAGACTAAATAGGGGAAGACTAAATACGAAAAGACTAATTACGAAAAGACTAATTACGAAAAGACTAATTAGGGGAAGACTAAATACGAAAAGACTAATTACAAGAAGACTAATTACGAGAAGACTAATTACAATACAAGAAGACTAATTAATATTATATTAAGGTCGTATATTAATACGTAATAAGATCGTATATTATGAATAAGTTGCAGGTTCGCACGACGTTGTTTGCGATAGAGTTCCGTAATTCCCGGTACACCGGTACCGAAAATTTGTAGCCGCGTATTCCTTACGAATCTCGGACTTTCCAAATCATGGAAAAAATGGTGTAAAAAAGCTGTTCCAAAACACTGAACTTACAGTCTACTCTAGTTTGTAATATTTAGGAGAAACTGACTTTTTCTAATTTGGAAAAAATTTGAACCTAAGAAAATTATATAGCATTTAAAAGTCAGCAGATTACAACGGTCCCATTCCCTTTTTCTACATCTCATGAGTTCACCATAACAAAAACTATGCCTTGGCACTATCCTGACACAATTACTATAGTGAATACTCGCCCGATCAACCCCCATATATTCAAGGCTTTAGTCAGGCTTTATACAGGGTGTTTCAGAATTAAGTAACCATTTTAATTTGTTAATAAATAAAAAACTAAGAACGTTATGAAGTTGAAACTTGTTTTATTTAAAAGAAGAACATTTTTATGGTAATATTGTATCCTAGTTTTTAAATATAATATCTTTTAAATGCTCACCACAATTGTTTTGACAAAATAGGGCTCTTCTCTTCGTTGCTTTCATAACCTTCATTAGTGTTTCTGACGAGAGTGCAAATTTTTGATATCCGCAAATTTTCGATAAAGATATTTAAATGTGTTTTTTGAAGGATCCTTGTTTTGAAATGGATCCTGTAATCACGTTGAACTACTGTTATTGACATCGTTATTGACTGTAGCGATAATTTTTGTTCTTTCTTCTTTGCTGTAGCGAATCACGATGAAAATTTAAGGCTTGAAAATTAAACACAAATTTAGCAAGCTATACAGGATAATGACGTAACTATGATGCAATATTACCATGAAAATGTTCTTCTTTTAAATAAAACAAGTTTCAACTTCATAACGTTCTTAGTTTTTCATTTATTAACAAATTAAAAGGGTTACTTAATTCTGAAACACCCTGTATACAGAGTTGACAAAAATATGATAAAATATCGGATTTATCTCAGCCCCGATCATACACAAAACCGAAAGTACTTGGTGTCAGCCGATCTGCCTGGACTTCGTCGACTCGACAAATAGTTTAGTTTTCAAATTAAGGGTTTAGTTATTTGGATTATTGTCCGAGAGTAGGTCGTGGAAGCATGTCCTCGTGTGTTTACCAACAGACCTATTTAGCTATTGAGTCGACGGTGTCACTGAGACCTTGCCATACATCATATGTGTCACAAAGATACGTGATCGATCACGCGATCAAGACCTTAGTAGTGGGCGGAATCCAGAAGCCTATATAAGGGCTGCTATATACCTTAAGCAAGCCCCGCAGTAGTTGATAAGCACTTGTAGTGATTAAAGTCTAATGAGAAGTTTCCTCGTCTCTGACGCATAGTTTATTATTTTGTCATTATTTTTTCTCTTCAACCTTTAACCATAATATTAAAATAAACGACGAGCTTTCATGTCAGAGAAAATCGAAACAATCACGCGAATAATTTTTAAAATTAATATAAATTTTCATTTTATATAATGATAATTCAGCGTGTAGCGTGTCGGTAGAGTTCTCCGACCTTACGGTCGATGCCGTAGCCTATTCCATCTATTCGCCGTAGCCTATACCTCTGTATCGCAACTCTGATTTACCACCCCGGATACAAGATACGTTATCTGGACTTATGTGTCTTACTTATCCCTCACTACCTTGGTAAACGTAACCCGATCCTCAGGTAGAGCTTAATATAATGAGCTCGGGGAAATTATCAGCAATATTCACTACTATTCAATTGTGGTGATGATGTAACCTCCCCTGCAGCACCGCAGTTATCACCCCCCAGCACCGCAGTTATCTCCCCCCAGCAGCGCAGTTATCACCTCGTCTGTCATCACAATATCGCCCGCAGCGCCGGCAATAGCATTAGCATTTGCGCAATAATTTCCATAGGCGACCACTCCAGCTAATTGATTAAGTCAGCTCGCTTTGTGGCAGCCCCTCGCGCCCCTCCCAGGCGCCCCTCGCGCCCCTCCTAGGCGCCCTTCGCGCCCCTCCCAGGCGCCCCTCTCTAGCCCCTCTTCTTTAAACCATCACTGGCGTCACTCTCGCCCATCTGGCAAGGTTCATTTCTGTCTCGGTTGTTTCAGTATGCCCAACAAAACTACAGTTTACTCTCATCTTCCTTGCAATTTGAATTACAATTCTACTAACGTTGTTCGTTTCCTCACGTCTCTATTTTGATTATACAAATCCACGCAATCGTCAACCACTTCGTTTCCTTTCTTCATTGCTCCGTTCTTTTATAATTGTTATTTCTCCCGAAGGTCTTTATTTTATTCATTCATCATTCATTCTTCATTCACATATTCTTCTTTATTCATTCAATACTACAAGATAATTCATCTCACATGTTATCGCGCTGCACTTATCACGTGTGTGTAACACATATTTCTGTTTAATTGTTATGAGGAATTTACCCGTTCCACCATCAATTAACGCGCACTTTCCGTGAAATTATACTCCATGCTTTATCACGATAAGGGAAATGATTTGAGGATGATATGATATGAATAATTTCTAGAGAAGCTCATCCCGCCATCTATTTCATAGCTACGCAGCTTCTGCTATCACGACAGCAGATGAGAATTATTTAAAAGTCATTAAATGAGAAATAAATGCCAGCAGTAAAATTTGTAATTGAAAACTCGATCGTTGCGCGTGAAAATATTTTGAAGCGACTTTTCTTGATCGACTCGGAGTGCATTGTGCGTAGACGAGCATGAAAATAAAGTTTATTGAATGCGGAGAGTATGAAAATAAAATTATTTGACTGTGATTAGCATGCAAATGAAGTTATTTGGCTGCGATGAGCATAAAAATAAAGTTATTTGGCTGCCATGCGCTTGCTATTAAAACTATTTGATTGCTTTGAATAGAGGAAAACCGACCAAAGGGGAGAATAATGCTGCTTAGATTACTTATTCAGGTGTCTCATACACGAAAAGTAATTTCATGGATAACAGAGCGGCCTGTATGAAGTCTGTTCACATTATTTATGCATCATGCATGCTGCTAGTACGTGTATCCTCCAGCCTCATGCTGCTAGTGTATCCTCCAGCCTCCTGTTGCTAGTGTATCCTCCAGCCTCATGCTGCTAGTGTATCCTCCAGCCTCATGCTGCTAGTGTATCCTCCAGCCTC